ACTCTAATAAACAATTAATGTGTAACCTGTCGAAACTCTGTCAATTGATTTCTGGAGGAGTTTCTCCCACAACCTTATTTCAACTAAAACAATTCGTAGGAGCTTGCATAGCCTTAGAATTTTCTCCAGGTTGCTGCTGTAAAACCACGTGTTACAGAAAAACAGCGAGAAAATCAATTAAAGTGGTGTTTAAGCAGAAGATGGAGTGTTGCTCAATGGGGAAAGATAATATGGAGTGATGAATCTCGCTTTACAATTTTTAGAAGCGATGGTCCCCATCATGTTTGGCATCCAGTCGGTGAACGATACAATATTGAAAACATTACACCATCGGTCAAACATGGTGGTGGTGGAATAATGGTTTGGGGGTGTTTCTCTGAAAAAGGACTGGGGCCATTATTTAGAGTTGAAGGGATGATGGATAGGCATGATTATATAGAAATTTTAGAAAACAAATTGTTGCCCTATATTAGTGACAAATTTAACAGCAGGGGTTACGCATTTCAAGATGATAACGTGCCTGTGCACATGGCACATGATGTTCAAAAGTGGATAAAGGAAAAAAAGATTAAAACTTTACCTGATTGGCCTTCACAATCCCCAGATCTTAATCCAATCGAACATCTTTGGAGTGAACTAGGAAGGCGATTAGATAAGCGGGCACAATACCCAAAAAATGCCAACGAATTGGAAGCCGCTTTACAAGAAGAGTGGTCAAATATTCCATACGAAGTTTACCACAAATTAATAGAAAGCATGCCTAGAAGGATCGAGGCATGTATTTCTAGCAATGGATGGCCAACTTGATATTAATATTGGATTTTTTATTTTTTATATTTTTCAATAAAATTTTGTTGATCATTTTTTTGGTCGAATTTCATATTTTTTTAACTAAAATGTTTCTGGGCGTTCTAAAAGCATCAAATTTTATATGCATGTTCATCAAAACCTAAGCCAAATTTTTTCAAAATTTTATGTATAGTTATTATGTGCGTTTTTGTGTAATTAGTAAAAACAGGTGTCCGGATACTTTTGTCCAGGGAGTGTCATTAAACCGGATACATCTTATGAACAGTATGGATTTGCATTGTGTTGCTGGCAGACAAAACTTTCAAAAAATAACCTCTAGGAATTATCTAGAGCTTTCAATGAAACTGGCGAAGCCGAAGTAAATTCACCACAAAAGAAATCATGCACGTAAGTTACATCACTCTCAAAGTCATTTGTACATCTGTTTTACAAAATATGAGGTTAGTTGTTCATAATAACAATTCACCATTTGCATAAACGTCACTACCAGGATAAAAATCTGCAAAGCTTTTTTCTGTTCATAAATCAGTTCTTCCCAATATACCTGAAACCTCTTATTTGCATGCTCAGTTTTGACCCATTGAATAGAAATATAAATGTGAATATATGCTTATTTCCATCAAAAGTAAAAAATTAAGCCAGTAGAAAAAATAAGTCAAATAATTCGGTCGTAAATAGTGGTGGCTGGGACGAGAGCAATACTCCTAATCTGGATAAAAGCAGATAGAAGTTCACCAATCCATTGCTCGGGTTGATACGAAAACCAACACTCTTAATCTGGATAAAAGCAGGTAAGAGCTCCCTTAAACAAAATATAAAGATACATTACTCGCAAATTTGTTGGATTTATCTCTGTTGCTTTGAATAAAAATATACGGACCCAGGTGCTGTCAAGAGCAAGCAATTCTTCTGAAGAGCATACTTATGTGAGAATTATACCATGATGGAGGTTCAAAAAATCAGCATAAGACCATGTTTCATTCTCCTTTAAGTAAAGCACAAGTTCTAGAATATCCAGCACTTAGAAACATCATGTGATTTTCGGTATTTTCGAAAATACTTTTGGAAAATTTCGCCCCATTTGTGTTTTC